GGCGCTGCGATTTGCGAAGCGGTCGCCACTTTCGAGTGCTGCTGGGGGGGCCAGCATAGTGACGCCCTACCCAGACTCAGATTCGACCTCGCCGTCGCTGGGGCGTTGCGATCTGCGAAACTGTCGCCACTTTCGAGGGCTGCTGGGGGGGGCCAGCATAGCGACGCACTAACCAGATTCAGATTCGACCTCGTCATCTCTGGGGGGCTGCGAATTGCGAAACTGTCGCCATTTTCGAGAGCTGCGGGGGGGGGGCAGCGACGCACTAGCCAGACTCAGATTCGACCTCATCATCTCTGGGGGGCTGCGAAACTGTCGCCCTTTTCGAGAGCTGTTTGGGGGGGGCATAGTGACGTCCTACCCAGACTGAGTCTAGACCTCGCCATCTTTGCGGGGCTGCGATCTGCGAAACTGTCGCCACTTTCGAGGGCTACTGGGGGGGGGGCAGCATAATGACGTCCTACGCAAACTCAGATTAACTAGACCTCTTCATCCCCGGGGGGGGGGGGCAATCTGCGAAGCGGTCGCTACTTTCAAGTGCTGTTCGGGGGGAGGGAAGCATAGTGACGTGCTACCCAAACCTAGATTAGACCTCGCCATCTTTCGGGCGCTACAACCTGCGATACTGTCGCCACTTTCGAGGGCTGCAGGGGGGCAGCGTAGTGACGCCCTACCCAGATTCAGGTTAGACATTGCCGTCTTTGGGGGGATGCGATCTGCGAAACCGTCTCCAGTTTCGAGGGCTGCTGGGGGGCACCATAGCGACGCCCCACGCAGACTCAGATTATACCTCGCCATCTTTGGGGGGCTGCGATCTGCGAAATTGTCGCCACCTTCGAGGGCTGCTCGGGGGAGACCAGCATAGTGACGTCCTACGCATACGCATGTTAGACCTCGCCATCCCTGCGGGGCTGCGATATGTGAAGCTGTCGCCGCTTTCGAGGGCTGCCGGGGGGCCAGCGTAGTGACGTCCTACGCAGACGCATATGAGACCTCGTCATCCCTGGGGGCGCTGCGATCTGCGAAGCGGTCGCTACTTTCGAGGGTTGCTGGGGGGGGGGGGGGGGGGCAGCAAAGTGACTGGGGGGTCAGCGTAGCGACGTCCTACGCATCATATTTGACCTCGCCATCCCTGCGGGGCTGCGATCAGCGAAACTTTAGCCACTTTCGAGGGCTCCTGGGGGGACCAGCCTAATGCGGTGCTACGCGGATCAGAGTGGGACCTCGTCATCTCTGGGGGGCTGCGATCTGCGACATTGTCGCCACTCTCGAGGGCTGCTGGGGGGGTGCCCAGCTCAGTGTCCTGCGACTCGTGCATTTCGCGAGTCTCCTGAATGTCGTTCGCAAAAAATATGCACCTCCTTGCCACGCCATCACAATCTATAACGTGCCTATACGACCACCATTAGGGTGATAAAGAGGTTGTGCGGGGGGGAGGAAAGGGGGGGGAACCAGCATCTGACTCAATCGATCTCACTATCGATCTCACTCAACGGGACACCACGGGACACCACGGGACTCTTGTCGATCTCACTATCAATCTCACTCAACGGGACACCACGGGACACCACGGGCCACCACGGGACACCACGGGACACCTCGGGACATCTCTCGATCTCATTATCGGTCTCACGATCGATCTCACTATCGATCTCACTCAACGGGACACCATAGGACACCACGGGACACCTCGGGACACCACATCGATCTCACGATCGATATCACTATCGATCTCAGTCAATGGGACACCACGGGACAGGACACCACAGGACACCCGCGGGACACCGGCGGGACACCAGCGGGACACCGGCGGAACACCGTGGGCCACCGGCCGCCGGAGGAGAAACATTTGGTCCGGCCGCGGCCCAGCCACAGGAGGATTTCGGGACACCAGCGGGACACCAGCGGGACACCGCGGGCCACCGGCCGCCAGAGGAGAAACATTTGGTCCGGCCGCGGCCCAGCCACAGGAGGATTTTCTCTCGCCCGCCCACGCAGCTTCGCCTCGCCCGCACGCACACACGGCACGCACGACACGAACCCGAAACCGAAATCGATTTCCCTGTAGGGGGGGTATCCGTTTCACGTCGGACTCACCCCCCAACCTCCGATACCGAGCTATTATGGCCATGCGTTGCGCAAGGGTTGGGTACGTCATCAGGGTATGCTTGATTATGTTTCGTTTTCCTTCCACAGTCCTCAGAAGCCCTCGCACCTTCTGAGAAGTGTCCCTGTCTTCGGGGAAGGCTCAAGACACTTCTCGGAAGGTTGGGGGACTTTCGAGCCCTGTGAGGCGGCCCGCCCCTTCTCATTTCCCCCCCTTCGCTCGCCGCCGAGAAAGGCTGCAGTCGGACCGAGGTATAAGATCGAGAGCGGCTCGGGGAGGGTACCCTGATGTTCTTCGTGCTTTTTGGATGTTCTTGTGGAACCTTGGGGGGGGGACCCTTTGAGGATGTTCTGTGTAGTCTCATGCTTCTGAGGGAGGCTCTTCTGTCTCGGGCCCAGCTGTACCAGTGCCGCTGGATTTCCTACGGTGTTGCTCCTCAAGGGCCTCCAGAGAGCCCTTCCTCGGGAGCCGCCTCGGATATGTGGCCACTGGGCACCTCAGGAGAAGTCGGGGGAGCAGCGGTGCTGGTATTTTTTTTTGCCCTCCCCCAGGTGATGATGTGGATAACGTTCCTTTTCTGGACGTTCGACACGATCATGGGCTTCTTCTCCGGGTACCTGGACAAGGGGCGGCCAGTCATGCGGAGGACGTCGATAGTGAAACACTACCTCCGCACGTCGTTTTTCCCATACCTTGTGGCGCTGGTCACGGATGCTGTTTCGCTGTGGCTCGCCATGTCGTCAGGAGAAGGCAGCCAGGTGAGAATGGTGAAGACCTTGCGGTTGCTGAGGTTGCCGCGCATTTTGCGAGCCTTGACGGTGTCACGCAAAGCTGCGGATTTGCTCGACACGTTCGTTCAAACACTTCGTTGTGGGGGTGAGGCGAAGGTAGCACTGACTTGCGCGAGACTCATTTTTGTCACTATTTGGGGGTGTCATTTGACAGCTTGCATATTTCGAGGACTCGTGGGAACCTGCGCGATAGATGCATATTTCGGTGAAGGTGGAGCTGTAGCGAGCGACGAGGCACAAGATCACTTCTCGTACATGCAGTATTTCTATTGGGCCGTGAACGTGTTAATCGCTGCGAATTCGATTATCCTCCCAACGACAGTCGGCGAGATGCTCATCACCATCATCTGCATGTTCATAGGTCTCGTTTGGTCAAGCTTGGTGATTGGTTTCATTGGAGACACTCTTATGCGCTTTCGCATGGACAACCAGATCCGGCACGACCAGGTTGCAGCGCTGCGCCAGTACATGCACCAGGCTGGCCTGCTTTATTGTTGCTATATTTCTTCTTTGTGATTTTGGCTTTATGCCCCGCGCAGTGCTTGCACTTTGCGGCTTTTACTTCTCCTCTAGGGTATTGCGACTGTCTGATGCTGTGGCGGTTAGGTTACCGCCGTCGCCGCCTCGTCGCTGCCTCGTCGCCGCCCGCCGTCTAGGCCTGTCTGCTGTTTTGACGGCTATGTTGCCGCCTTCGCCGCCCCGTCGCCGCCTCGTCGCCGCCCGACGTCTGGGCTTGTTTGCTGGTCTGGCGGCTATGTTGTCGCCGTCGCCGCGTCGTCGCCGCCTCGTCGTTTGTGCCTGCCTTCAGGTCTGGCGGCTATGTTGCCGGTGCCGTCGCCCCGTCGCCGCCAAGATTCTGTGTTTTAAAAGAGTACTAGGATCCACCTCCCGCCCCCGAATCTCACACGTCACATGTTTATAATGCAATTATCACATGATTGTGCCGCATCGTCCATCCTATATATGACGTCGTACTTTCCCACGCAGACGCGCATCGACCCCCCATCCATCCACGGCAAAAATACAATGCGCTCGCGGCCTCGTCGCCGCCCGCCCACGACGCCGGCTCGCATTGAAATGCACGCGAGGGGGCGCCCAGCGGTCAGCGCCATCGCGGCCGCGTCGGTCGCGCCAGACTAGCAGGAAGCTGCGCGCGCAGGCATGCGCGACCTAGCGCGTCCGCGAAGATGCACATGCCGACGCCAAGCGCTCGTCGCAATCGCCACTGCATTGGCTTTGCAAACCAGGTTGCGGGTCGTAGGACGATTGCGCTAACAGTGGAACTGACGACCCCAGGATATTCAAACTGAACTCAAGTGCCGCGCGGGCCACGTGCGCGGCATTTTCTCAGAGGAGCAAAAAGCATTGATATTGATAGTTTTAAGTGTTCCAGACTGTCCCGTCCATTCGCGCGGGCTCCAGGAACGCAGTGTCGAGCGCATTCCGTCGCGCGGGTTCTTCGCGCGATGCGCGCGGAACATTTTCGCGCGTCGGGGCGCCCTCGGAGATTCCAAGCTGCATTATGTTTTGCTCTTGGCGAGTCCGCGAGTCGCAGTTGCCGTGGCGCGATTCTCGAGGCAACCCCTTCGAGTGCTGTTCGCGGGCGCAGGGCGCGGCGCGCGCTGCGCCCAATCGAGCGCGGCGCGGCGCGCGAATCAGCCGGTCGCGCCCGTCGGACCGCCAGGATATTATTTCCGGATCGAAGAGTGTTTTGAACAAGCGCGGTTGTTGTTTTTTCTTGCGTTGCGAGAGCGGTTCCGTAATTTTTCAAGGGGCCGGGCTACTTCAGAGAAACAGTCATGAGGGGTGGAATGCGCCCGCCGCGCAGGACATCTGAAGGATTCGGAAGTCCACGAGTTTTCAAAATCAGAGTGAGGGGGCTGAACCGAACGGTCATTCACTGTCCCTGGGTGCGTGGCTGAAGTGGAATTCCGCAATGCGGATTGTTGTTGTTGTTGTTGCTGTTGTTGTTGTTGTTGTCGTTGTTGTTGGTGTTGTTGTTGTTGTTGTTGTTGTTGTTGTTGTTGTTGTTGTTGTTGTTGTTGTTGTTGTTGTTGTTGTTGTTGTTGTTGTTGTTGTTGTTGTTGTTGTTGTTGTTGTTGTTTTGTTGTTTTGTTGTTTTGTTGTTTGTTGTTTGTTGTTTGTTGTTTGTCGTTTGTTGTTTGTTGTTTGTTGTTTGTTGTTTGTTGTCGTCGTCCCACCCGCGACCCACCCCGCGACCCGCCCGCGACCCACTCCGCGACACACCCGCTACCCACCCGCGACCCACCCCGCGACCAACCCGCGACCCCCCTCCGCAACGCACCCGCGACCCTCCCACGACCCACCCGCGACCCACCCCGCGACCCGCCCGCGACCCACCCCGCGACCCACCCAAAATGTTCGGCGCCTGCGGCGGGTTTCTGTCGCATTCGTTCCAGGTGGAAAACCTGCGACCCACCCGCGACCCAAACCGCGCCCGCGACCAGCCCGCGACCCACCGCGACCCACCCCGCGACCCGCCCGCGACCCACCCGCGACCCACCCAAAATGTTCGGCGGCGGCGGGTTCCCGCACCTGCGACCCAACCCCGCGACCCGCCCGCGACCCACCGCGACCCACCCGCGACCTACCCCGCGACCCACCCAAAATTTTCGGCACCTGCGGCGGGCTTCTTGTGCATTCGTTCCAGGTCGAGAGCCCGCGACCCACCCGCGACCCAAACCGCGTTCAGTGTAAAAATCAAAATGTTCGGCGCCTGCGGCGGATTGTTCTTGAATTTTTCCCAGGTGGAGGTGGAGAGCCCGCGACCCACCCGCGACCCAATGTACGTTCACTGAACATGTCAAAACTTCGGCGCCTGCGGCGGTTTTTTTTGCATTCGTTCCAGGTGGAGAACCTGCGACCCAAACCGCGTTCAGTCTACAAATCAAATTTTCTGCGCCTGCGGCGGGCTGTTTTTGAATAGATTCCAGGTGGAAGTGGAGCCCGCGACCCACGAGGCCCCGCCCGCGCTGCTGCCCAGCCTCCGCGGCCAGACCACCGAGGCAGTGGGCGCCCCGGCGGTCGTTGTCGACAGCTCCGCCCTCAGTGGCATCGCATGCACGCGCCTGTTCTGGGCCCGGGGCTTCGGCCTAGAGAGCGTAGTTTGTGCCGGGCCGCAGCTCGGTGGCTGGGGGGGCTTCCTCCGTTTGCCTGCAGCAGGCTGGATTCTCGACGAGGTCCCCAGCGTGGGCGATGCCAGCGCCATGCCGGCCGGTGTCCATGTCAAGATGCCGCTCAAGAAGGAGGCGAGGCTGAGTGCGCCGCGTGCGCGACCCCAGGTGATCGAGAATTCTCAGGAGAGGGAGCTCACCGAAGAGGAACTTGAACGGCTCTTGGGGTACGTCAGCGGCCACGCCCGCGAAGCTCTCGGGAAAGGAAGCAAGAGCGCGTCCGGCGTTGCCCTCGGGCCCGCACGACGTGAAGTTCTGCGCGCGGCGACGTCGTCACTAACGGTTGCCGTGCCGCTGCAAGCTCTTGCGATGATGCGGACGACGAACGCGCCCGACACTGGGCGAGATTGTTCAGCGCTGGCGAGACGCAGAGAAGCTTTCGAGGGACCTGGAGTCGAAGTTCGCGGTCCTCGCCATGCCGCCCGACTGCTCGCCGTCTCCTTGCACATTCGACGCTCTGCCGGCGGGTTGGTCATCTGACCATGCCTTGGTGTACGAGTTCTTCCGCAATTGCGATGTTCGCGGAACCGACGTCCGCCTCAACCCTCTCATGTTTTACCGGGCCCATGCTTCGCCTCGGCAGCCGATCAACACATTAGCATGGAGTTGGAAGACGATCCAACGCTACAGATACGAACGTACCGAGCCTATTGGCTGTCTGGAATTGCGCACTTTCTTTAAGTATTTGATGTACAGAGCCCGACGACCTGGACTTCATTGTTCACGCTTCTTGTTCATCTCGCGCTCCCAGGTGACGGTCTCGGTCCAGGCCAAAGGTCGCTCGTCCAGCATTCGCCTGAATGCCCTCCTCCGCCGCATTGCGGGCATCTCTGTCGCCGCAGACGCGCGGGCAGCAGCAGGGTGGACAAAATCCGAATGGAACCCTGCCGGCCCGCCATCTCGATATTATGCCGGGTAGCGCACGGCCAAAAAGGGTGATTATAGCCCACCGCACGCGGGAGGAGAGACGAGCCGAGCGCCGAGGCGTTCCATTGTTGCGCAGATCAGCCAGACTAGAAATGCGGTACGATGTAGCATTGACAAAGTTCTTCCCTTACTTCCGCCTCAACGGGGTGGACCTTCCCCAGTCTCCATGCGCGGTTGACGACACGCTTGTGGGGTACATCACTTTCCTCTGGGAGGATGGCGACACGTCGGGCCTCCTCGGTGACGCCACTAGCGAAGTGCAGGCCCGGATTCCCTCCTTGAAGAAATGCTTGCACGGCAGTTGGCTCATGCTGAAAGCGTGGGAGAACAAGGAGTTGCCTGTCCAAGCGCCGCCGCTGCCACGAGCGGTGGCTTGGGGCCTGGTGGGCCTCGCGCTCGAGGTTGGTTTTACCGGCGTTGCGTGCGCGTTTGCGATCGCTTGTCACTGCATGCTTCGGACCGCCGAGGCGTTGTGCCTCCAGGCCTCGGACATTGCCCTCGGGCAGTCGAGCACGGTGATCACCCTCCCCTTTACCAAGAAGGTGCTGCGTGACACGGTCGCCATCCATGACACCCTCGTCACCCGATTGTTCGCGCAGCGTCTGAATAGTTTGCTTCCTGGCGACCAGCTTGCCGATGTGAGTTGTCAGTAGTTTTCTCAAGGAGTTGTCCAGTAGTTTTCTCGAGGATCTCAATGCAAACATGCATGGCTTCCGCCTTTACAGCTTCAGGCGCGGAGGAGAGACGCATCATTTCCGCTCGCGGGGGTCCATGGGCCGGACTTGCGAGCGAAGGCGCTGGGAGAGTACCAGAACGGCCCGCATCTACATCACCGATGGGGCCACCCAGTTAGCTCACATGCAGAGAGCTGCGCCTCGAACTCGCCAGGCGCCCCATGGTGAGATTATCCGCGCGAGCCGAATCACAATCTAGGCGCGCCGCGGCCCCGAGCAGCTTTCCGGCGAGCGTGGCCGAAAATCTGGGCAATGGCCCCGGGCCCAGTTGAAAGTAGAGCTTTTGATGCAAAATGACCAGTCATGCAATCCTTGCGCCAGCATCCCATCGACCACGCGGCCGGGACAGACAAACGATGCCCGCGCAATTGCCCGGCGTCTTTGCCGACTGCACTCCATCGAGCTTCTCTTGTTGCAAGTTGGGTGGATGCGGAGGGGGCCCCCCCTCACCCATGGGGATAGGGGCCAACGCGCTCTCATTTATCTTCGGCCCTGAGGGCCCATGGTGTTCAGACTCCGCGAGTGCGAAAAGGAAGCCCCCCGGGGGCGAAAGCAATGAGTATTGATGGGCACAGCATGCGTTTTGCTGAAGACAGGGGGGGCTTCCGCAGCCAAGGGTGGCCCAAAGCTTGCCGCCCTCCCACCCGGCTGTTCAACCACGCAGGAGGCTGAGGCACCGCGTGGAGGGGGAGCCCCCCTGACCCATGAGGGCAGGGGCCTTCGCTCTGAGAGCCAATGCGCTCTCATTTATATTTGGCCCTGAGGGCCCATGGTGTTCAGACTCCGCGAGCGCAAAAAGGAAGCCCCCTGAAGCGAAAGCAAATCAGTTTTCAAAAGGCCTGCGTTCGAGCTCTTGCGAAGTCTTAGGAACACCATTGTGGTTTTCCTAACCATCCTGTGGTGTTGGGTCCTCGCTTTGAAGAGACAGCGCCGCGCGTCTCCTCCCGCTGCCCCCCCATCCTCCTCGTCCTTGCGTTCGCTCTCCGCGTGTTTTTTGTTTCGGCGCACCCCTTGCACGCTTCGTGGCCCCATGGGGGGGCCCCACCTAAGGTCCCAGCGTGCGAACTCGCATGGCGGCCTCGCCCCATTTTGGCACACCCCTCGCATGTTTCGTGGCCCCACAGGGGGATCCACCTACGGCCCCAGATGCGGAACTCGCATGGCGGCCCCGCCCCATTTTGGCACGCCCCTTCACGCGCTTCGCGGTCCCAGTGGAAGCTCCACCTTAGGTCCCAGTGGCGGAACTCGCATGGCGGCCTCGCCCCATTTTGGCACACCCCTCTCGCGTTCGGTGGCCCCATAGGGAGCTCCGCCTATGGTGCCAGTGGCGCAGCTCGCATGGCGGCCTCGCCCCATGTTGGCACGCCCCTCACACGTTTCGCGGCCCCAAAGGAAGCCCAATCTATGGCCCCAGCGGCGCAGCTCGCACGGCGGCCCCGCCCCATTTTGGCACGGCTGGGCCATCGCCACAATGGCGCGCCAGGGGCGCAACAGGCGCGAAGGCGACGGGGCGAGGGAACAGCGCTCTGGGGCAGTTTACGGCCAGACCTGCTGGGCGCGAGCAGTCCGCAGCCATACCTTCTCTGGGCCCCGTGGACTCTCGCTCTGGGCCGTCGGCTGTCCGGCGCGCTGCCCCCTCGGCCGACGTTGCCCAGGCGCGATTTTGGACTGCGGCCGCCGCGAGGTCGGGAACGGGAAGAAGGAGGGCGACGACTGTCGGCTGGAGCTCCACGCGCTGCACTCGCGCGCCGCGCGCCACGAGGACCTCCTGCCCACGCGGGCGCCGCGCATCGAGTTCTTCCCGGCAGGGCCGCCGGAGGGCTTGCGGAAGCAGCCGGGGCAGTTTGCGGCGCGCGCGAAGCGGCGCAGATGGGAGGCGACGGGCTTCACCGAGTTTATCCGCAAGGCTTGACCTGAGGAGTGGCCCGCCCGAGCCTCGCCGTCTCTCGACGGTCTGACCGTTTGGCCTCGCGCCGCGGGCGACCCGCGCGCGTCGCTCGGGCCCTCTCGGGGCGACCAGCGCGAGTCGCGGGAATTTCGCGCCGCGCTCTGCCCGGAGCCTCGCTCGCCCCCGTCGTCGCTCTGCCCAGCGGCCGCAGCCATGCCCGCTATCAGCCAGCCAGCTAGCTCTCTCTGTTCCGCGCAGCGGACGACCCGCGCGCGCCGCCGGGGCCCCTTCGGGGCCACCGGCGCACGCGGCGGGGGCCCCGTGCGGCGCCGCGCCCGCAGCCGTGGACATTGGCGTGCCCAGGCAATGAGGCATAACAAGACCGGGAAGGAAGCGGGCGCGATCCTCGCGAGGGGCGCGCCGACATGGGCGTCGACATTCATGCGCGTAGACTGATTCGCACGCAGACTCATTCACAATCAGACTCACTCGCGCTCAGGCTCACCCTTTCTCAGTCTCTCGCACTCAGACCGACCGTCTTTGTTCGCATTGTGGACCCCGCCACGCGTTTCGGCGCGCCCCCATCGCACGGTTCGCGGCCCCTCAGGGAGCGCGAGCGAAGATGATATTCACAATTGCGGCATTCACAACTGCATATGGTTGGGTCTTTCGCCCGGCTGATTGCAAACGCGTTCATTCAATTGTGCCAAACGAGCTTCGCGCGCCGCGTTCCGAAATCAGTCGAACACCCTTGCGCGCGTGCTGGGGGGACGCGGTCAGGGCCAAATAATATCATGCGGGCCAGTCTCGCACGCCGGCCACGCGCGCATGCAGAACTCCATCCACAACGTTCATCACCGACGCGAGGGCGCCGTCATCGTCGTCGGCGTGATCAGTATCGGCGCCGTCGCTGGCCGTGCCGTTGTCACTGTTATCATCGTCGCCAGCATCGCCATTATCATCATCGTGTATACCGTTGCCGACACTGCCGTGGTACCGCGTTCGCATCGGTCGCGCCAAACTAGTTGGCCGCTGCGCGCGCCAGCGTGCGCTGGCTAGCGCGGCCGCAGAGATGCACCAGCCAACGGCAAGCACTCATCGCAATCGCCGCCGCATGGGTTGTGCATGAAGTGAAGGTGACAACTTCAAGCTCGGCAGGGTGAATTGCACCGCGCCGCGTCGATTCCCCTTGCTTAACAGCTTAGCTCATACCCCATCCCCCCCCCAGACTTCTCGTTTGTTGGTTTCGCTGGCGACATCGCATCTGATCTTGACCGCTCGTCCATCCTACATATGAACTCATGCCGCCCCAGCGGGGCCGGCATCGACCCCCCCCCCGCTATCCTTTGCAACAGAAATTATGCGCGCGTTCTCGTTTATAAAAAGTCATGTTTTTGCAAGAATCCCTTGCCAAACGTGGGACGACGTGCGCAGTCGCGCGTCGTCGCGCGCGCATGCCGAAACTGTTCAAGTTTCGTGGAGATGTCCAAAGCGAGTGCTTCGAACACATATAACCACATGACTGTGCAACAAGAACTCCCAACAACGGAACAACATGCGCACGTGCTCTTGCGAATCCTTTTTGGGAAACCACGAGGTTGTTTCAAATTTGCTTCTCGCGCGCGTCGATGAAATCGTTCGAACGCTCTTGCGCGCGTGCTGTCGCAAGACTCCCTTGCAACAGATATGACAAAATGCGCGCGCGCGTTGCCGCGCGCGCGTGCCGACATCCTTGAACAAAAACCATCGGTTTCGTAAGGACATAAAAATCGAATGCCCAAGAAATTATACATATATATATATATATATATATATACATGCGAATGTAACAAAAACGCGTTCTGTCGTCGCTTTGAGGGGGGGGTGGATCCGGACCCCACCTCCTTGGATGGAGGGGTGTTCGAAGCCTCCCCCCTCCCGTGACGGAAGCGGGGGGGTTCGAACCCCCTTCCCTTTCCCCTCCCCTTCCTCTCCAGCTTCACCTCTCTCCCTCTCCTCGGGCCAGCGCCTGCGTCGGCGGCGGCTGACGGCGGCGGCGGGGACGACGACTTTGCTTTCTGGGCCGACGCCGGCGCCAGCGACGGCGGGCGGCGGCGGCGGGGAGCGTCGACGAGGACGACGGCGACGACGACGACGCTCCGCCACCGTGATTGGGTTTTGGGCCTATGTCGTAACTGATGCCTCTGAGGGTCTCGTCGGGGGGCTGTCGGGGCCTTTGACGGGCATTTGTGCAGCCCCTTGGGCGCCTTTTGGGTGTCTTTTAGGGCCTCTCTGAGGTGGTTGTGGTGGTGGGCTGTTGACGTGGTCGTGGTGGCGGTAGTGGTAGTGGTGGTGTGGTTGGTGGTAGTTGTTGTGGTAGTTGTTGTGGTGGTTGTGGTGGCAGGTTGTGGTGGTGGTGGTGGCAGTGGTGGTGGTGCGGTGGTTTCTGGTGGTGGTGGTAGTTGTGGCGGTGGTGGGTTAAGTTGGTGGTTGTGGTGGCGGTGGCGGTGTGGTCATTTGTCGTGGTGGTTGTGGTGGTGGTAGTGGTTGTGGTGTTGGTGGTGGGTTGTGGTGGTGGTGGTAGTGGTGGTGGTGTGGTGGTTTGTGGTGGTGGTGGTGGTTTGTGGTGGTGGTGGTGGTTGTGGTTGTGGTGTGGTTGTTTGTGGTGGTGGTGGTAGTGGGTGGTGGTGGTGGTGATGGTGCTGGTGGTGGTTTGGTGGTGGTGTGTGGTGGTGGTGGTTTGTGGTGGTGGTGGGTTTGTAGTGGTAGTGGTGGTGGCGGTGGTGGTGGTTGTGGTGTGGTGGTTTGTCGTGGTGGTGGCGGTGTTGGTGGTGGTGGAGGTGCTTTGTGGCGGTGGTGTTAGTGGTGGTGGTGGTGGCGGTGGTGGTGGTGGTGTGGTGGTTTGTGGTGGTGGTAGTGGTGGTGGGTTGTGCACTCCTTGTGTTGCTGGTAGTGACGTTGGTTGTGGTGATTGTGGTGGTGGTGGTGGTGGTGGTGTGGTAGATTGTGGTGGGGGTGGTAGTGGTGGTGGGTTGTTGTGGTGGTGGTGGTG